CTTGGATGTAAACATCTTGTGTTGTGATGTAGAGCCATGTGGAGATGTAATTCTGTGATTTCAACTGTTTAAATGTTTGTGAATGCTCATTAGGAAGGCCCCTTTTCTGGTCAGGAAAGAGCAATCATACCCTCCGGTTACCTCTGCAGATCGTTCCCCCCATCCCAGCTGAAATATTACTTTTATGGTGAGATGAATCACCGTCTGGAGATGCTTCTTTCTCTGTTGAGGCAGCCTAGATGTCTAGTTTAGATTAGATGCTGACTTTTGGACAGCTAAAGATACTGAGATGAATGAAATTCTCTGGACCATTTCCTCTTTGTGTTTAGAGAATATACCCAAATGCCATGGGGGATCTTGCTCGTGCAGGATTGTGATAAATAAGAAATGAGGGACTGATCATTCTCTTTTGGATAAAACCCAGAACCAAGATGGAAAAAAATTCCTTTATATATAACCCTTTCTTTTAGAGCAGACTTCCATTTTTAGTTTCCCAATCTTTGCCTTTGTGTTGGGAGGGGATCATATGTTTGCAGCTGCATAGTTACAGAGATACTGCAAATAGATTGCATAGTATCCTTGTGTAGTGTGCCTGATTGAATTAGTCTTTTGAGGTAAAGTTTCTGCATTTTGCCTAATACTTAAAGAGTTTTTTCTTAAATGTTTAAAAAAGAGAGAGAGAGACTAAGATTTAGAAGAAGCCTCTGTACCCTTAGAACTAGAAGCAATATACCTCATAGATAACTGCCTTAAATGAGCACAGGGACACTATAATCTACAAATAGGCACAATGTATATAAATTCTGATCTCAAAATTAAGTTTACTGAGTTTAAGTCATTTCCATCAGAAGGATATATGCTCTGGTTGATGTGCAAGGACTCTTCTGCTCTCCATATGTGATTTTCTTGGAAAAAGCAAGGACTTGCTACAGTCTGAAACATAACTCTAAGTTTTGCTTGATCTTTTGTAAATGGTAGTATTTGCCTTATGGTTAATCAGATATGATAAAAATTAAATTTAAAGAACTGAATTGATTTTCTCAGGGCTGGGGAGGAGGGAGGGAGCATAATTAGAGCTGAATTTAGCTCAGCTCAGTGGTTTAAAAACAAATCCCCTATCTGGAATGTTGGAGCCTAGAAATAAAATGCACACTGATCAAACATCAACAAATATGAGAAGTCCTACAAATGCAGGCCACAATGTTGCTTTTTCAAAGTGCAGCTTGTGAAGCTCCTTCTTCTGTGTATATATAATAGTGTGTAAACACTGCAGGACTTAAGTAGGTTTGGGTGTGTTTGTTATTTGTGTACCTTCGGTCAACTGTCCTGGTTCAAAGCAATGTGTTGTCTTCGATGTTTTGGAGTAATATGTGACTGTGTTGTCAGGGAGACCCGTTAAAGACTGGGACCCCTAGTTTTAATCACATAATGCATAGACTTACATATTAAAATACATACCAATATATCCTTATATATAATATATTTACATACCTTACTTTTTTGTCCCACTAGCCTCAGATGAGAATGTAACATTCTGTTTCATAGATCTCTAATTCATGAGTGGTCTTTAAATGAAGTTTATATACTACAAAGTGTACTTACAGCAATAGTTGCTTTAGCAAAACTGTTGGAATTTGTCTTGATTCTTCACTTAAAAAATCCCACAGCTAAACACCATGACACCCAAACCAGAAATAGGGTGGTACTTGATGGTATTACAACTTGAGAAAGCAGGACCTGGAAAAGAAGAGGATATCTAAGACAAGCGAAATGACCCAATAGTCTTTTGGCTGTGATACTGTTCATCAAAGTCCTGGTTGACTGTCATGGGAAAAGAGATTGCAGAACTCTGTGGCTGTTGAAGGTGGGACTTTCAGTTTTTGTTAGAAACGTTTAAATCCTCAGGGTTAGGTATTTTATTTCACAGAATCAAGAAAGGAAGTATCAAGTGACTTTTAAGACCCACAAAGATTGGACTTGGCATTTCTTAGGGAGCCTGGAGGCTGTTTGCATGTGTGAAAGAAAAAATAGTTGTCTGGAGGGCTGAATTCAAGCAGGAAGGTGCATAGTGAGGAAGAAGCTCCATGTTCTTGCAGATTTCCTCACAGGGCTACCCCACATGTTTCTCAGAATGTGTAATAGTCCAGCAGATATCTTCTCACAGTCAGATTTTTTTAAGGGCTTTTAGAGATGTATTGAGTGTCAAACTAGTGGTATGGTGTAAAAATAAATGAGCTGAATAACTTAAACACAACCTTCAAATGACACTGGCATCATGAATTTTCAAACTGGAACTGTAATCCTGTATATGTTTCGTGAGGAAGTACTGGGTATTCCTGCTGAACTCCTTAGGATTTGTGTGCAGGTGGCAAAGCCAATTATTTAAAGGGTTTTGTTTATTTATTCTTAGTTCTCCTTTTACTGTAGGCCTCTGTGGTTTGAATAAAACTTTATTCTTTGCCCACAACCTAACTAGATGATTTTGAGGAGTCTGTTGCTGTTTGAAGTTTGTCAGAGTTGGATGATTTATAACAGAATTTAACATTTAAGACCTTTACAATGAAACATTAAGAAGCAACACTCGTGTTGATGTGTGCTAGACACTGGCTGTGAATTCTTCGAAATTCGGGAACCTGAATCTTCTTGTATAGCAACAGTGCCTGTGGGATACTCGCTGAAAGGTGTGTGTGTGTGTGTGTACAAAAGAGAGTGATAAAAATTTTCTTTCCCTGAATTTTTGTTGTATGTTACCACAGGATAGTGCAGTGTTACATGAAGGTCTGAGCTAACTTCAGCAAAGACAATTTGTGCATTGCAAGCAGTAGAACTGCATCAATACCATGTCGTACTTAGGCTAATTGAACCAGCTCAGAACAGGCAACTCATGCCACCGTTGTGCCAGTTCCTCAGTGGCACTTCAAGCCACTTGTTGAGAGAGGGACTGTGGCTGCCAAGGGATGTCAGACTGAGGAGGCTGCATCAGAGCAGAAGTCACAGAAGTTCTGAAACACCTCTAGATAATAGGTCTTGAGCTATGGGAGCAGCTCTTCAGCCTTTATTCTGCTTTCAAACTTGACGCGCCAAAACCATCAGGATCAGAGGTCTGTTTGACCATCCAGCCATGCACTTGGGAGATGAGATCAACAGCACTGCACCTTGTTGCTTATTTCTCAGTGCTGAGGAAGCCCACTGCAGGACCCTTTCTCTATGGACTCAGTTGTGAGAATCTGTCTTGATGGCAACATGAGCAAAATAATTGCAGGTACCCTGACACCATATGCCCAGGAAGACATTGGCTTCGAGGCCAGCAGGAGGCAGTGAAAACCTGTAGAACGTCTATTCCTTGTTCTTGAATTTATTTTTTTTAATTCAATTTTTTTTCCTCCTCAGAGGCAAGGTGTCTGTAAATCTTAAAACTGTAATGAGCTTTTCATAGTAATATATTTCAGAATCTTAGAAAAACTCAGTACAAGAAGAAGTGTGAAGTTCAGTATAAAACCCCCTTAGATTCTAAAGACACTTAAGTACTATTTTTGACTGAGAATCTGTGATTCTGTAATAAAGCAGCCCTTACACCTGATTTCACCACTGAACTGGGTGCACAAACGTGGAAGCCTTATCTATGTTGATGCAGACCCCATACATCATGTAGCGAGAGCGTCTTTTGATTCAATGAAAAGTTCATCCTGTTCTAAAATGGGGAAAAATGGACTTGTGGCTTCGGTGAGGGTATTGTCTGTGCTGAGAACTGAAAAAGCAATTCTACAGTCGTAGATACTCTCTTTTTTCCTTCCCTATCCCCCAACCCTACTGTGGAAGGAAGAGGATTGGCTGTCAGTTACTACAGAGGGCTAACAACTGTTCTTAAGGTATTCATAGCAGGGATTAAATCCACAGGTAAAAGGTGAAATTTCTTTCTTAAGAAATGTAAATAACTTTTAGGGGGTTGATAAATTTCTAATACAGTAGTGTATCTGATGCAGGTTAAGACTATGCTCACATAAGTTGAATGGATTTTAAAGCCAGAAGAGATCATTAAAAGCCAGAATACTGTCACTGCAGTACAGCGAACAATAGTGTTTTACCCAGGTGTTTCTTCAGTGTCTTTGGAAGAAGCCAAGCACATGGTTTTGGAGATCTAGTCTTGATTTAGTTTTCTATTAACAGAGAATTCTCTACATCCTCCCCTAATTGAGGTGTTACACTGATTAATTTAGCAGATTATTACTGTAGTTCCTTGATCTGTTTCCTCTGCCATAATTCAGTGTGACTGCTGAAAACGGCATTCCCACTGTCATCTATTTGCTTATTTCTGCCTCTCCCTGGTGCCAGCTCTAGTTTTTGTGTTCTTCCTGGGTGAAACTGAGGTAGTTTGTTGCCAGATGAATTTCCTAACCTGCAGAAACCAAACAATTATTTGGCTTTCAGCTTACCCAGTTATTTAGTTTGGTTAATGCTGATGCAATGGAGATAGTGGGAATGAATGGCCATAATATGAAGGAGAAAGATGGGATTGGCTCCTTTAATCAGCAGCACTGAGCAATGACAGATTAAATGGATTATGGAATAATGGTCCGAAACATAACAAGCAAGTAGCTAACAGCTGACACTAGACAAATTCAGATGTGCAAAAGTAGTTGGGTGGCCAATGAAGATAAAGAATCCTTTGCTATCTGACACTTACAGTTGAAAAATTTTATTTCAGAGGTAGGGAATTTTTTTGACCCTTATAGAGCATACAACATGTTTTTTTTTTTTTTTTTTTTTTTTTTTTTACAGTCTGCACTGAATTTAGAATTCAGAAGAACTACCAGTATTCCTACTGAGGGGATGGGTGTTTTGAAACTTAAGGATACTATGGGAGGGCAGAGAGGGGAAGAAAATAAAAACGGCAGTCTTGAATCCTCATCCATGCTGTGAAAATCTTTACTGGCTGTTGCAGCAGTTCAGATCCGTGTGCCTCCTAACTCACTCAGGAGTCACCTTTCTTGCTTCCTTACTTTGAACCTTATCCACATGACAAAGCAAAACTGTCTTGTGGGGTTCTTGGCAGGCTGGTTCAACGCAGGCTGTGTTGAAACTGTGGGGGTTTGTAATAGGCATTTGCAGAGAGATGTTTCTCTGCAATGTTCTCCTTTCCTATAATTGGAAACAATGCTGCATGAGCGCTGACAATCGGAAGACAAAATCTCCTTTTTTTTTATTTTTCTTTATTTTAACCATCCATACCTTTGCTAAAAGAGAATTGTATGAAACTGGTTGTTCTGAAGAACAGCTGACAGATGGCCAATGTGTTATTGAAGAGCTCTGATGAAGGCTACTTTCATCAAACCCATTGTTTTCCAGTAGGGTTAAACTCCTATTAATATTGAAGCTATTAGGTTAATGCTCAAATAATAATATAGTTTATACCTTTTGTACTGCACTTCTATCAGGTTTGAGGCATAAAAGTACTGCCCAGAAATGGGCAGACTCTGTTCCAAGGACTTGTATACATCTATCTTTTGTCATATTCTGTAGCTTTCTCTAAAAGAAACAACTCTATCTTTAGGGACTTTTGAACTCTGAGGCTGCTATTAAAACATCTGTGGGTTTAAGTGATGTTATGATTTCTCCATGACTTAGCAAACAACAAAAGTTCCAACAGGTTCAGGTAATCAAGCCTTATTTTAAGTTTCTGTTACGACTTGACTTCCGTAAGTGTATACCTTTTATCATCAGTAGTTACTTGGCATCTTTTCATGCAAGTCAGGGAAGATGCTACTAAGCAGCTCTAAACTTTTATTGCCTTTCAGAGGATGACAGATGAAACCTGGGCACTGAGCTCACAGGGCACTTTGCCAGCATAGCATAGCTGCTTTTTTAGCTATCTGTGTTTCTAACATGACACACTATCAGAATGGCAACTGTAGACAAGAAAGACATGCAGATGCATGCTTTCTGTGCTGGCTTCTTTTTTTTAGGTCCCTGAAGTTAGCTTAAACTTCAAATACATTTTCATCCCTAATGCTCTCATTGGGTCTAACAGGAGCCTCTTTGAGGTCTCTTTGAGAAATGTGCTTGTATATTTTTGAATTCTACTCAACAGGGTAGCCTTCCAATTAATTTTTTTAAAAAATTGGTATATTCAAACATGAATGTACAGAGATGCAGTATCAAAGAGACTGAAGAATAAAAGCCCCATGATATATATATTCACAGCTTCCCATGACAGAAATTAACATCTTTAGGTTTTCTGAAAGCAAGTAGTGAGGAAAGCATGCTCAGGTGTGCTGTGCTTGTTGGGTGCTGATTCTGTGAGAAAGGTAAGACAAAGTTTGCATGCTGTTTGCCACCCAGACAGAACAGGCTTGGAGAGAAAAAAAATAATTTGGTTACTGCTACTCTGTTGGATGAGACCATGGTGGCAGGTTGCAGCATGCTATGATTTGGCTTTTGGTTTCCTTTTCTTCCTGTCTACCTGGGAGTTGTTATTTGTGTGTTGAAGTATCTATTCCAGTAACATGAGAAAACCCCAGCTGCTTTGCAGGGATGCTTTCTGGGAGTTGGAAATAGCCAGTTAAATGACTAGCGCGTGGTTAAATAAAGTTGTGGGGATTGAGGATAACTATCAAGACCCTTGACGTAAAAATATGCTTACAGGTCAAATATATGCACTGAAGGAAGTGATTAAACTGGTTTTATGAAATGGATTGCCAACCAATCTGGGAATCCACCTTACCTATAGAAAGGCTGGAAGTTTCTCACTCAGATAAAACAGATCCAGGGATAGAGTCCTGAAGCGCTGTTTCCTTGGGACTTGTCCTGAGGGACAAAGAGAATATGAATCCAGAAAACATAGTGTTCTGTAGACTGGAACACAGAGAGAAATAAGGACACTTCCAAATTACTTGCATTCTCATGTGGAAGCATTATGCATTTTTAGTGAGGGAACTGTACTGGGTCTGGCTGAGCTGGAGTTCATTTCCCCATAGCAGCCCTCACAGTGCTGTGCTTTGCATTGGTAGCTAGAAGGGTGTTGATAACACACCGGTGTTTTGGTTACTGCTCAGCACAGCATCAGCACTGTAACATTCCTTCCTCAGTTGAGGGCAAGATCCTGGGAGGGGACACAAGCAGGCCAGCTGACCCAAACTGATCAAAGGGATATTCCATACCCTATGACGTCAGCTCAGATATAAAAGCTAAGGCAAGGAGCAAGAAGGCAGGCATTCATTGTCCCCAGTGGCTGCCTGCTGAGGAACCATTGCATGTGCAGAAGCCCTGCTTCTCGGGAATGGCTGACCATCACTGCTGATGGGAAGTAGAGAATAAACCGCGTTATCTTTCACTTTGCTTTTGTGTGCGCAGGCTTTTATTTGCTTTTGCGTGCGCAGGCTTTTACTTTGCTTTTGCTTTAATAAACTACCTTATCCCAAACATGTTACTCTCTTCCCTGTCTGGCTGGGAAGTGATAGATCAGCTGGCTGTGCACCTGGTCAACCCACCACAGGAACTCAACCAGGTCTATGTCCATAGATATTCATGCTGGTAATAGAAGCTAATTTTAAGGAGTCAGGTTTGTCAGTGTCCTGACCAAGCAAACTGTCAGAATTAAAAACAATCCCCCGAAACCCCAAACAAACAAAACAACCTTCCTTTTTCCCCAGAAGTCCCACCTCTAATCTCACTAAAATATGTATGGTTTGAGCATTTGCTTGTGTTTTATGGAGAACTTAAGTATTTGGAGTTTTTGCTTTTGCATGTATGCCTGTGTGCCTCTTAAACAGGAATTCAATGCTTCAGAGCTTGCTGGTAAGTCCTTCTAATATCGGTAGTACTTTTTAGTCAATATGTAAGCAGAGAGAATTTACTAAGGTTTTCCTTAGTGAATCTTAGCACGGTAGGCCTGATACGAAGAGCTGCTCTTCCACTTTCAGCTCTATATTTTGACATACAAGTTTAAACAAAAGTTATATGTCGACAGTCCGACTCTGAAATGGTCGTACTGAGAATACCTGTACAAATACTCCTGGACACTGGATGTTCCAGATGGTAGTTTCATCTTTTCTATAGTTTATGATTTGTGTGTTTCAACTGGTTCTGGAGAAAAGATTAAGCTGCAAACAGCTGTATTGTGTTCAGAGCTTTAGGAATTTGATTTTTTGATCATACCTAGTATTTCTTTGCCTCCTCATCATCTACAACTGGTTCCAATCAAAATGAACTGCTGAGAACTGGCTGACGCTAGTGACTATAGACAAGATATTTACATGCTGTTAAAAATGAACAAAAACTTAGAGAGCTTGCAAGTGCTTAATGTGTGTGGTATGCAAGCAACAGATCATTCTATTGCCAAAGGTTTTGATGCTGAATGTTGTTATGACTTGATTTATATGTGACTGTTCAAGATGAACTAGCTATCCAATCTTGCAAGCTTACTTAAAAAAAATGCAAGTGATGTGAATTTGAAGCATGACTTCACTGTCCTACTTATTTTACATTTGAAATTATTGGTGGGAATGGTAATGCAGTGTTGTCCTGGAAGGACCTGTGTGTAATCTGACTGAAACCAGCTACTCTAATCAAACAGCAGACTCTGACTGGTGTGCTTGCAACAAAATTCAATTTGCATTTTCTCTGTTGTGCCAGACAGTGTCCAGCACTTCTAAAATGAGTGAAATTGTGAGTAGGCATATTGCTAAGTTATTCTGTGTCAGGTTTTGGACTGTGGACACAGCATTGTGTCCTGACCAGAGCTTAGCTCTTGGCAATAGAAGTGGTTTGCCTCCAGAATCAAGTGCTCAGACATCCTGAAGCTTGCTGAGTGTCTCCCCATCTGCACAACTGCCACTGCCAGAATGTTCTCTGCATTCAGATTCAAACTGATTCCCTTTCCTTAATTGAAAGTAATTCATATTTCTAATTGTATGTCATGTCTGTGCTCATGTAATGGAAAAGTGCTGTTACAGACATGATAATTAAAAAGAACCTACACATTAGCAGAGAAACTGTCTATTAAGGAAGGTAATTAAAACCCTTTCAAAATTATTAATATATACTAAATATTTATTAAGTGATCCAAGATACACTTTTTTGCTTCCCTAAAAATAAATAAAATACTCATAAATTGTTAGAATGAGAAATGTACAGGCAAGAACTTCCTACCTTAAGAGCAGCCCAAAGTTCAGCAGGTGGTGTTGTGACTTTATGGGGAGCTCCCAGATAATATGTTAAGTTTGGAAAGCTGTCCACGTAGCTAAGTACTGAACAGTAAGCCCCCAAGAGTTGGAAAATAATCTCAAACCTGAGAAATTGGATCCAAATCCATCCTCAAAGGCAGAGGAATGCAGGTTCTATGGGCACACGCCCAGTGGAGTTCTCCTACTGAGCCTCTGCTCGAAGGTTATGAAGCACAGTTCTGCTTGTGCTGGCAAACCAGTCCAATGAATGTATAAAATCGCAAGGAGTATTCTCAAATAGCTTGATTTCATAAGCCTCTAAAGCATGATTTATCTAGACTTAATACATTTAACTGTGCCAAGACAGGCAGAGCCACTTCAGTTCACTAGGGGAGGACTACTGATTTCAGCTGTCTTGGTTGCAAACTACAATTATAATCTTTGTCAGGAACAAAATGAGTAGATTTTATTACCTGCATTCTTGGAGAGACAAAGGAAGTCACCAGATTCCTACCCTTGTATGAGTAATTTTTGAATTGCTGGCCAGGTTTCTTTTTCCCCTTGCAATCCATCAACATCTGGAATTATTGTAATAGGCTGCACCCCTCTCCAGTCCTGTATTTGTTTCAAGTCTTTTTTTACCAGAATCTCTTTTTATGCATACTGATTTTTATTTTTCTACTTGAAAGAAAAAGACAACACGGAGTTACTGAGAACAATCTTTGAAGGATATTTGTCTCTCAACTTGCCTGATTTCAAGACCACAGTAATGCCATTTGGAAAAGCCTCGTTAGAACACATAAGTTTCGAGCGCAGTTGTTCAACTATTGCAAAAAGAATTTATGTTCTTGAATTCGCGTAATTCATCATTTGATTATGTGCTTCCTGAATTGATCCCAATGAAAGGATGAGGTTTTCTGATTTACTTTCGTTTTAGGTGTGGTGCATCGAATCAAGAGATTAAGCACTTCTTGTTAATGTGCTCCCTTCCCCTCCAAACCTCAAGCAAAAAAACAAAAGCTATTTATGGGAAATCTTGGATGTTCTCCTTAAGAGCAAAAGCAAATGATCCTCTTGGAGTCATTCTAGTGCAACTAATGACATAAAAAGCCCAAATTTTATCCAAAACATCACAGTGTCTGCTTACTGAGGAAGAAACTGGCCTGTATATCTATGAAGTGGTCAGCTACTGATACAAATTCCTTCTCTCTACTCCGAGAGTTAGTATGCCACTCTTTCTCTATACAAAGACAATTTGCTTTTCATATAGTAATGAAGACAAAGGCACTTCTAGTGTATTATTGTGCTGTCTTTTGAGTAGTGCTAGATGCTGGGAAAAATGGTAATTCAAAGTGTGAATGCTTCTTAGCAGCAATGTGGGTAAGAACTGAGCATATAGAGTCTATATTGCATAAAGTACAATGGTGAATATTGTGAGATGGAGAAAAGCCCAAATTATAGCTCTTGCTGATGGTCAAGATACTAAAAAAAAAGGAATGGTCTTTTTAATGGTCTTTTGTATTTTTTTAAACAAAATCCAAAATATTGTCTGTCTATGTAAGTATGTGGCTAAATTTAGTAACAATATGTTCATTTTTTGTGTTTGCAAATTCATATAAAAATACATAGAGATATTGCTGAAAACACCTGTGTTCTTCTGCTTTTTCTTGTAAACTGATATGAGGCACAGGTGGCTTCTCATTAACTTATTTCACACAAATATAAATATGCTGCACAGTTTCTTTTGCTGTAACTACATAATCTGAGAAACATGATTGCTACTGATTTAATGTAATCAGTGTTGTGAGAGGATCATTCTGAGCCCTTTGTGAATGACTCTATTCTGAGGGGATTTACACCCCATGTAAATCTGATTTAAATGGGAGAGTGGTGGAATGTGGCTTTCCTATTTAACCTATGCAAAAATCTATGTTCTCCCACCTAGGTTTCTCCCTGTGTGATGGGATACTCAGCTGGTATATGGTGGGGGAGGGGAAGAACACTAGTCCAATAAGGACAGGGAAAGAAGGTAAGGGACTATCTCAAACAGGCAAGTTATACATTTTGATTCAATATTCTGATATTCTTATCAAGGCTTTCCAGAATGTGACACTGACTCAAACCGCAAACAATAAGGAGAAAACAGGAAACATGTATCAATGTCTTTGCTGTTCTGCAATGGTTTCTTTTTTTTTTTTTTAAAGGACCAATGTTACAGCAGAAATAAAAATCTAGGACAAAACCAACAAGCCATCTTAACGTGTAAAGCAAATGTATTTTTAAAAATTATTTTAGTAGTTTAAAGATATCTTTCTGTTTAAATTTATTGAACTAAAGCCAGATTTATTCAATTAAGATAATACACTTCAAGGTTAACTACCATTTACTGTTCACTTAGGCAAGCTATTGTACAGTTATGTAAATTTCATGAACAGAGACACGACTTGAGTGTCTTAATTACAAGCAAAAAGTGTCATTTAAATATGAATAAGTGAATAGTTGCCTGTATTTCCTGTTCACATTCTGCTGTCATCTTTTAAGACCAAGAGCTAACTAGCCATCTATATTGTGCTTTCAATTTTTCCTCCTGCCTCCAAAATGAAAAAAAAACACCAAAAAAACCTCCACAACAAAGCCTGTCATATAAATGCATGTAAAGCAGATGATGCAGGAATGTCTTACTCTTAACGGTTGTTATTAGCACAGTGAATTTTAATTTACTGAGATCACAATGAATAGCAATAAATATGCAATTTTTCTGTGGATTTCTCTGCATTTCAATATGATATCTATATTGAAATTGTACAAACTATAGCTTATGTGTAAGATCCTTTCATAGTAACTTTCTGGCAAGCCTGCTAAGGGCTTATTTTGTATGCTTCTATTTTCAGTGCTATGACCTATTATGAATTCTT